CGGCCGCCGAGCCCCCGACCCGGCCGGCCGCACGAACCCCGGCCGCGGGCCGCCGCCGGAAGTGGGCGTGTGCGGCCACCGCAACGCCCACTGGGAAGCGTAGTCCCGGCCAGGACGGCGGCGGGACTGAACGGAGCGCAGGCCGCAAGGCGCGGGCCCTCCCTGGGCCTACACAGCGTCCATCGTCTCCCTTCCCGGTCGGCCGCTTCCAGCTCTTCGGGACCTCGGCCTCCGGGTGGCCATCAACACCCGGCCCGAGCCTGACCGGAAGTACAGGCCTCCCGACGGACAGCGCCCCGCAGGCTTCTGGGAGTCGGCGCCGGGTTCGGATTCGCGCAGGCGCGGTTCCATGGCGGGGCGGGGCTGACGGCGAGGGGCGGGGCCGCAGGGCTGACGGGGGTGGCGCTGGGGTGCGGCAGGTGGCGCGCCCCTCGGCTGGGCGTCCCACGGCTGTCCGCGCCAACCGAGTGCGGGGACGCGCGCGGCGACGGGCAGCGCTGGACCTTGCCGGTGTCCAGAGTGTGAGTCTGCTGGGGGTGTGTGAGCACAGCGTGCCTTCGCGTCCGACTCGCTGCGCACCTTGGACCCCAGGTGGGTCCCCGTGTCCCTGGACACTCGGGCTTCCCCCGCTCCCCGACACCCGTCCTCCAGATGCCACTCCCCCTGCGCTTGTGGGTCCTGCACCTGAACGGCCTTCCCCCAAACTCTCGTCGGGGCTAGTTCCCACCTGTCACTGTGACAGATCGCTGCCCAGACTCGCAGTCACAAATGCCACTCACCTCGTGACCTTTTACAATCTGCTGCATAACCTTCATCCTTATCTGAGTTAACTGATGTTTTTATTCATTTACGTGTTTAGGGCCAGTCTTACCAGAGCCGTCCAGAGCTTTCTGGATCCCTGGAGCTGAAAGCCTCGTTCCGCGCAATGAATAACCTCACTTAACAGCCGGGGCGCAATGCTGTTGTTACACTCACCATCACAGACCCAAGAGGCTACACGCCCTTACATTATTTGACATTTTGTAATATCATTTAAAACAGAAGAGAGATGAGTGGTAGCCAGGGACTGGGGGCAGGAGGAGGAGATGCACTACAAAGGTCTTTTATATCTTATCTTGGTCGTAGTAGTTACGGGACTGTATGAATTTGTCAAAATTAGAATTCCGCACCCGGGGGGGCCTGGGTGGCTCAGATGGTTAAGCGTCTGCCTTCCGCTCAGGTCATGATCCCAGGGTCCTGGGATCGAGCCCTGCATCGGGCTCCCTGCTCAGCGGGGAACCTGCTTCTCCCTCTGCCTCTGCCTCTCTCGCTCTCTCTCTGACTCTCATGAATAAATAAATAAAACATTTAAAAAGAATTAGAATTCTACACCTAAAGTGAGTACGTTTTACTGTACTAGCTTTTAAAAACTCATGAAATTTTACACTTAACATCTGTGTGTAAATATTTCTCATTAAAAATAAAGTTGTAAAACCCTCACTGACATAGAACTGAATCTAAACCACTTTAATTAAAAGACTTTCTTTGATTTAATAAAATGGCACTAGCTGGGGAGGGAGCTTAATTATGAACTAGCAAAAAGAAAACCCTGGGTAGAGAATATAACCTGTCCTTTTTCTTTCTGAAACTGGCCTCAGGGTTATAATTGGTGTGTAGGACTTCTCTTCTACTTTATATAATGCCATACTTCTCCTAGGCTTGACCAACATCTCAGTGAGTCAGGGATAACCTGACCCAAACAAACCATCAATGGCCTGGGTGGTATTGCAAGTGTCTTCCATTTCCACTTCCGTTTACCAGTTCAAGGAAGTGGACCGTCCATAATCCTCCCAAGCCCCAATATTCTATTTATTCTAGCCTGTCAGGATCAATCACTGTGGCTTTTTTATCCCTCTAGTGGCATGAGACATATGGAACAGACAGAGGTCACTTGGCCTTCACTGCACCTGTTGTTGTTCCTGATTGGAAGACTTCCTCCCAGGACTAAAACATTTACACAAACATAACTCAGAATTGGGAGAGAGAAACTAAAAATTTTGAACATGGGACATTATACATGGCAATTAGTACAAGGAAATGCCCCAACCATAATGTCTTTCCAGTAACTATTATAGAGCAACCCCCACCCCACCCCCACCTTTTTAACTTTATAAAACCAACCACTATATTTTTTCCCTTCTTTTTAAAAAAATCTGCTCTCCTGGAGCGCCTGGGTGGCTCAGTCGTTAAGTGTCTGCCTTCGGCTCAGGTTATGATCTCAGGGTCCTGGGATCGAGCCCCACATCGGGCTCCCTGCTCGGCGGGAAGCCTGCTTCTCCCTCTCCCACTCCCCCTGCTTGTGTTCCCTCTCTCGCTGTGTATCTCTCTGTCAAATAAATAAGTAAAATCTTTAAAAAAAAAATTTCCACTACATTTAATGTAAAAATGATGCTTTTACATCCCAACCCTAAGTACTCAGTTTTGCAGATAGAAAAATAGATCAACTAACAATGAACACAAGTTTACAAGAGTAAAAAATATTGAGAGCAAAAAATACAGTTTAACACATAAAATGTAACATAATGAAGATTCATTTTACTTGCTAAAGTGGAAACAGATGACTTGGTGGTGGTGAAAGGAGTCATTTTTTTTTTTTCAGGAAGAACATTCCTCTTTCTTCCCCGTTTTCAAACTTTTAGGGGGCTTGAGGTTATCTTGCACATTTCTGCCTAAGAGTAGTCATGTTACAGAAAAAAGCAAAATATTTAGGCAAAAATAGGCTAAATAAAGTGATACAGAGCATACCTCTTGCTTGTTGTATGCATTAAAAAGCACAATATTCGGATTCATCTACACATGGTATGCAATTCAAATTTGTTCCACATAATAGCCTCTAACTAAAAACTGTTATGCTGAGTAAACTGGTGAGTGTGCTTTGTCTGAAACCCTGTGTTGAAATACTACTCTTTGTACTTAGTGTATCTACTTCTTAGTGCTGGGGGGGCAAGGAGTAGCAACTTACTCTTCAATATGCCCCCAACCACTGGGCACACAGGGTATTCACTAAGGTGGCAGTTCCCAGTGTTGTCTTGGGATTTGATTTAGGCTAGGGTGAATTCTACCAAACCAGGTAGGAATAACTAGTTGTGAGTTTGGCTACCAGGTTTCAGTCAGGAAACACACACCATGGGGTTCAGTAGAGGGAATTTAACACAGGGAACTAATACAATAAAAAGGTGTTGGGAGGGGGTGCCTGGGTGGCTCAGTTGGTTGAGCGACTGCCTTCGGCTCAGGTCATGATCCTGGAGTCCCAGGATCGAGTCCCGCATCGGGCTCCCTGC